CAAACCTAAAGATATATATTTGATAAGATAAGAATATTAACCAAATAAATATTCCATTGTTTCAACGCATATAATTGAAATTTTCTAACATGATTCGTTAATGTTCTAATCAACCTAACCCGAGCCGTATGATTTCGGTAGGATTGTAAATTTATTTGAGTTTTGTTAAGATCAAATAAACGAATACTTATGAATTAGGTTAGTTCATGGATTCTCCCACTAAATTGAATTAAACCAAACGAACATGAATTTATTATTAATTTTAAAAGATACAAATTATATATCCATATTTTTATTTATTGTCTTCGTGTTTCTCTCTAACCATTGGGTGATCACTAACAGTGGTATTTGTGGGTCTAAGAAGCCCAACGGTTAGTAAGTCATTTAACTGCTCGTAGAAGTCAGCTAGCTCGGGTTCAAACGTTTGACATTCGTTCGTGACAGATGATTCTACCCTTGATATGACATCAACCTCGCTATTTATCTTCCTAGGTGGAGATAAATACTTTGTCTGACTTCCTTATCTCACGTCGCCGTGTTTTTGAGTTGACCGCAAGATTTTTGTTGGGGATTACTCATTTGAGCTTCCCTCTTCCGATATGGCAATGACAGCGAGTATAGGTTCATCATGACTTATCTAAAAAAAAGTTAATTTTAAATTTTAATTAAATGTCTCTTTTTTAAATTTAACAATAATTTAATTTAATTAATTTGATTAATTAAATATTTTAATTTATTTCCCTTTTTTTATTATATCTTTTAAAAGATTCTAAGAACATATCTTGGTTGAATGCATTTTTTTGGTATAAAAGTAATTTTAAAAAAATAATAAAATAAAAATTTAACTTTTGTGGCGTGGCATTTCTCTACTTTAATTTTGTAATTAATTAATTCATAATTATTCGCAATAAATTTTTAATTAATAAATTTAGAAATACAAGAACCTTCTTCTTTGGGAGGACCAATTAAAATTCGACCACTAACCAGATATCAATTTATAATTAATTCAAATATTTATTAATGTCTTTATTTAACTATATAGTATATTTGATTGATTAATTAGACTATGGTCTTGGAGTGATGATAATTTAAATTTAATATTAATAATGCCATATCTTTTTTAGAATATGATATTAATAAATAAATAAATACTACCTGCCACAAATTTCCACTTTTTAAAGTAATTTTTGGTGTTTATTAATCATGGATCTAATTATTCTTTCATAATTATAATAACACGTTTCCTTCAACCATATAATAAAAAGTTAGTGCTTTCATTTTCTCACTATCACTTTCTCACATAAATCGATTTCTAATGTTATACAAAATTAGGGTTTAGGGTTTGGTGATTGTTCGGTTTTTTAAAATCAATTTGTAAATACTAATTTTACTTATAAATTTCATAGTTTTGCTTTCTATTGTTGTGAGAATCTTCATCCGTTCGAGAGGAGAACGAAACACCGTTTATAAGGTTGTGGAAACCTTTCCCTATCAGACGCGTTTTAAAGTCCGGAAGGAAAACCCGAAAGGGAAGGTCTAAAGAGAACAATATCTGCTAGCGGTGGATCTGGGTCTGCTATCCTTCTCGTTATTCCCTGAAGGGGGGTAGACACGAGGCGGTGTGCCAGTAAGGACGCTAGGCCTCAAAGGGGGTGGATTTGGAGGCGGTCCCACATCGATTGGAGGAAGGAAAGAGTGTCAACGAGGACGTTGGGCCCCGAATGGGGGTGGATTGTGATGTCTCACATTGGTTGGGGAGGAGAACAAACCACCATTTATAAGAGTGTGGAAATCTTTCCCTAGTAGACGCGGAAACATGTTTGTGAACCACGAGGTGGTGTGATGTCCCACATTGGTCAGGGATAAGAATAAACCACCATTTATAAGGGTGTGTAAACTTTTCCCTTGTAGACACGGAAGCCCGAAAGGGAAAGCCTAAAGAGGACAATGTTTGTTAAGCAGTGGGTTTGGACCGTTTTTTTTTTTTTTTTTTTTTTTGAGGAAGTATTTGAATTTTCAACCAAATTTCAAAACGACCAAAATCCTTATCAAATTGAGACTAAACAATTCAAGAAGCTAAGGGAATATGAGTTAATATTAGTGATTTCGGGATTTGTTCACGAACCAAATTAGGGTTCTTTTTTTTCAACGAGCATGTGTTGAAGGGATTCATACCTAATTTCGTCCTCTTAAGATCAATAGTATGTATCTTAACGAGCTAACAAATGAGTTTATGTCTAATTAATTGTGTTTATGTTTGATTTAATTGAAATAAAATAATCCGAACTGCGACGTAGTACTTTAAACCTCATCACTAGCAACTCAATTAAAGATATGATTAAAAATTCCAATCACATGAATTTTAGCTACTCTTTTTGGTAACAACGTATCTAAACATGATGAAGTGTATCTTGAGCTGGGCTATAGAGAACGTTCACTATCTAAAAGAGTCTACGTAACCTATAAACTCGACTTTTCAATACTCACGTTTGAAGCCTCGTATGACAAAAGATATCGTTCACTTGTATTTTGGGATGAGGTGGGACAACATTAGCTCTCGGAACCTAAGTTGGTTCAAATCACTATTGAAACAGTGCAGAAGATTAGGATGATGATGTCAACATCGTAAAGTAAACAGAAAAGCTTATGTTTTGAATATTTTAACTTATTTTTTAAAATAACGATTGAGTTTCCACTTAATTTAAGGTCGTCACTATATACATATCATAAACATGGAAGGTAGAAATACTTTATTTAAACTTTCATAAAACATAACATTCCGCTTAAAACACAACCATGGACTTAAGTATTTTGTAAACACCTTTAAAAACAATAAACAAAAGACTAAATAAAAAAAATAAACGTTTAAATAAAAAACATTATATTCTAGTCTAAATCTAAGAAAATAAATACTACTACCCTATGTCGTCATCAACCGTACCGAAATGTCTTGCCTTAACTTAAAATAGAGGTAGCACGTAGCTACTCAGTGAGTGACCCACTGTTGGAGTTAAATGCAAGAACATGTGAATTCATTGGTGAGACCTATCATATCAGTCTATTCATACGTGCGAGTATGAGCTCACCAGACAGTTCGCATACCACTAGGTCCATAGGGTTAGCATTGAAAATTCGAACGGTTCGTGTAAAGCGGAAAGCGGATGGGTATTTTGGTGTCTCTTGGGAGGGTAGAAGGGGCAAAGTGATGGGAAAAGAAGGGCATGAGGAGACATCGAGAAGGGTCTTTTTAATGGGGGGAGTGGCAGAGCTCACACACACACACACACCCAATATGAAGTGTTCAATAATGAAGTTAGGCAGCAAAAGACAGTTCAACCAAAACCATTTTTTTAATACCCAAAAAGAACAAAAAAGTGGACAGTCTCATCCCACTAGCTATGTCTTAATGGATTGTTCTAAGCTGTCCACTTATCCCCTCTCTTCTTCTTCTTCTTCTCTTACATCATTTTTTGCTTTGAATATGTTTGTGCTTCCCATGATGACAAGGAAATTTCAATTTTATTAGGGGTTTTTTTTTTTCTTTTCTGGTTTGAATCTCGCCGATAAGACTTTCGTAAATAGTTTTATTCTTTTCTTTATTCAAGCAGTTTTTCGTCGCTAAATTAACTGTGAGATCTCATATCAGTTAGAGAGAGGAACGAAACATTATTTATAAGCATGTGGAAACCTCTCCATAACAGACACGTTTTAAAAACCTTGAAGGGAAGCTCGAGAGGAAAAGTTCAAAGAGGACAATATCTGCTAGCGGTGGGTTTGAGCTGTTACAAATGGTATTAGAGTAGCCCAGAGAGGACAATATCTATTAGTGATGGACTTGGTCTATTACAAATGGTATTAGAGCTAGACACCAAGCTCTGTGAATAAAAAAAAAAGTTGAGCCCTGAAGGATGGTGGACACAGAACAGTGTGCCAATGAGAACGATGGGCCCCAAAGGTGGTGGACATCGAGCGGTTTGCCAGCAAGGATGTTGAGCCTAAAGAGGGGTGGACACCAGGTGGTGCACTAGCGAGGACACTGGGCCTCAAAGGGAGGTGGACATCGGGCGGTGTGTCAGCGAGAACGTTGGACCCCGAAGGGAGATGGACATTGAGCAGTGTGCTAACGAGGTCATTGGGTCCTGAAGGAGAGAGGATTGTGAGATCCCATATTGATTGGAGAGAGAAACGAGTGTTACCAAGGACCCTTCGCTCCAAAGTGGAGTAGATTGTGAGATCCTACGTCAATTGGAGAGAGAAAACTCAAAGAAAAGAATATCTACTTTTTAAGTTTTTGATAAGATTTTGAATTATTTAAAAAGATTATATAAATAATATAAACCAAAATTGTAATTTAATTTAAGAAATAATATTAAAAAATTGATATGACATTTTTTATAATAATGTAATCATAATTAGTTGTTTATAAATAAAAAAAAATAACCGATCGTAATTAATTAATTTTTTAATAATATTTTAAAGGGACCAATATTTTTATTTCTTTTTTAATTTCTAAAAGAGGCTTTTGGGTTGGCCCGGACTACAGCCGCTGTGGTCCAACGTTTTAACCACGGGCCACCCATTTCTATAAAGCCCAAATTGGTTTCCCCATTAGCCCTTAATGGGCCAGTAGAATCCTAAAAGCCCAATGGGCCGTAAAATCGTATCTGGTTTATTTTAAGATCCTAAAAGCCCAATGACTCGTAAAAACATTTTTGATTTTATAAAGGGATGAAAAATAAATACAAGACGAAGAATTATACCTATTTTTTATTTTTATTTTTTAATATATAATAAAAATATAACTTTTAAAAACCAAAATTTTGATAACTTTGTTGACAACAATTTTTTAATGGTACAAAATTATAAAATTAATACAAATATTTGGTAATAAGTTTTAAGTTTATTTATTTATTTTTTTAATTTTGTGTTTAATAAATTTTTAATTTTCAATTTTTTAAAAAATTTAATTATTTTACAATTTCTGATATATTGGTAAAAACTCATCGGCGAACTGTGTTTAGCGTTATTGCTAAAGCTACGATTTTGAGGCGGCGGATTCTGTGTTTACCTTCGATTCTCCAACACCGTTTGTGTTCGCCGCCAATTTGGGAACTTCATTGATCCATCAACCGAAAGCTTCCGCGTGATTGCGTGGTTTTGAAGGAACCCAGTCAAGTCAATTCCAGTCCAATCGAATGTTTCTGCAAGTGTTTTGGTGACCGGAAGTTAGGGTTTTGTTTGTAGCTAAAACCAGCGCGCAACCCTAAATCTTCCGTTCCGGGCATTCTCACGTTCGTCGGGTAATTCATCTTCTTGACCTAATTTGTTCCCCTCCTTTTCTGGTTCATTAATTGTTGGCTGCGGCAATGATTTATGGGTTCTTTTGGAATCGGTTGAATGTGTTGTTCTAATAGTAAGAATCGGTTGAATGTGTTGTTCTAATAGTAAGAATCGGTTGAAATGCTTTAGTCGATTTATGAGTTTCTCCACTGTCCACTTCTTCAGGTTGTTTTTTTGTTCAATCTTTGAGGAAAGAGTATGATCATTTGTTCTACGGTCACTGCTGGGTTTGTTTGAAGCGATTCAATGAGGGGAGAGAGTGAGAGCATGGCAAGGCAGCTGCCCCATAATCATATGGAGAATGACATTCCAGGAACTGCATCTACTCTTTATGTGCAGGAAGAGCATTTGAACTCTGCACGTAAATGGTATTTCTGTAAACAGGAAATTGAACATAATTCTCCATCCAGGAAGGATGGAATTGATTTCAAGAAAGAGGCTCAACTGAGGAAGTCGTATTGCTCGTTTCTTCAAGAGCTTGGCATGAAGCTGAAAGTGTAAGACTTCATTCATTTATATGCATGTGACAGTTTATGTATTTCTTCTATACATGTTTTTGCTGAGCACTTCCTAAGAAATTTGTAAAATTATCTTTCTTTGTGGTTATCTGTTTTGTCATTGCAGATCTAGCTATCTTTATTCTTCAGTCACCAAGTTTTTTGGCTCACATCAGTTTTGTTTGCCCATCTATTGTCGTTGCTAGTTAACGCTTTCATAGTTTCATGGGGGATTTTGATTTAGTTTATTACGGAATAGGAAGGCTAGGAAGAGAACAGCTGGAAATATGGATATGCTAGTGTTTGAATTTGCACTAGTATTGGTCTAATGAGCTTAGGAGTAAAACACGTGGAGTTTGGGTTGAGATTTCTAAGATATGATGATAACTATGAAAGCGTTGAACAAATGATCATTGGCATATTCGTATTTGATGATAACTGCTACGTAGATACACCTTATAAAATATGTTTGCTCCCCATAGCTGGTCAAGTAAACCACACTCAATCTTGGGATGGGAAGGTAACATTTTATGGTAATCTTATTTATCACTCTACTGTCAATACACACCGTCAACTCCCATCTTTATTGGTGTTGACAATGCTTGCGCAGCACAAGGACTTAAGCTAGGTTGTATATGTCCTTTTTCAAGCAATTCCCAAACCTGTCCATGAAGGATTTTATATTCATCAGAACTCATTTTATAATGTGGTAAATGAGGGATGATAGATCCTGGAAGAAAGTCAATGTGATGTTGAATATCTCTCAATGAGGGAAAGTCTATTGGTATATTGGTAATGCTTGGGAATTTGTCGAATTAGTGCTGAATTCTGGTGGAATGTTTTATCTGTACTCTGTTTCATTTCTCAGCTTTTGATTTGATTTGATTTGATTTCTTGACAAAGGTATTGTTTTGATGGTTGAATTGTGAAAAGTTGACCTTTGCTTTCACTTTTTGTTTCATCACCGTGTTAAGCGGTATGCATCCATTTCAAGGAAATCTCAAACCACTTGGTCTTTATAACTGCCATTTCAAGTACATCACAAACCATTTGGTCTTTATAGCTATTACCTAGGTACAACGGAACTGTACACATTACATTTGTTTGTGCTTCATCATCCCTCTTAATCCAACCAACCTTGTATTGTGTTGGATGTGGATCCACCCTAAGGTTAGGTGTGCTATCAAGCTATTTCTGAAATCGTATTCTCACGGCTTCTGCTATCTATGATGACCATGCATATTTCCCATTTATGTTACATCTTGTCTGAAAAAGGAATGCCTTCGTGGATTGGATTCAGTCATTGGAGTTAAGTGGACTCCTTGGATGATACATGATAATTCTTCTCCTTCAATGGATTCAAAATGCGTTATTTCTTCAGATTCTTCACATATGCCGTCATCCAAACTGTGATTGTCCTCAATCAGTGCTAAAGAGCAGTCTTCAAGGGCATTCATTGGATAGATGCCCACTTTTCCAAACCTAAAACATTTGCCAACGTTGGTCTGTTGTAGGGATTGGTGTTCTTTTTGGTTGTTTGTTCTGCATATTTTATTTCTTTGATGTTGGTGACCCACCTTCCCTGTAGGTGTTCCTTGATTGTTTCCAGGATGTTCTTCTGGACATTTTCTTGAATTCCTCATTATTTTGTTCTTCAATAGTTGTTGCCCAGGTTATGGCATCTGAAAGATACCCCGAGGGTTGTAGCTGTACTTGGTTTTTAATTATCAGATTGCAGGCCAGAGACAAAGCTTGAAACTCGATGATGCTCACTATTGACCATACTTGTAAAAGCACTTTATCCGTGGATTTCTTCAGTATATTTGTGCACCGTGCGCTTTCATGATTGCCATTTTATAGTTCTGTTGTATGCATTGTGCATCTTGCTTATGGGCATAGCGAAGTCTCTCCCTCCTTTCCATCATTCTCCAGATTCATCACCATCATCACTGATCAACTCTCAAGCACTCACAATTATTAGAAGAAAATTTCTTCAACTGTACTCTGTTCATATTTAAATAGATTCAACTATTTCTTCTGCTCTATTCTTTTAGGTGAGAAATCTTTCTTACAATGGATGATTCTTCATATAACTTTTTGCCACACCTCAGTTGTTTTCACTTACGGGACTCTAAAGGATTGGACCTGGCACTTTTTTCTGTAGCCCGTTTTGGTTGCTTAAATGTTGATGATTGTAGCTATATGTAATCTTTTATCTTACTGCAATAATAATTACTTTTACCAAATTTTCACGTTGATTGCTGATTTGTATATCTTTCAGGCCTCAAGTAACAATTGCAAGTGCCATGATGGTTTGCCACCGATTCTATATGCGTCAGTCCCATGCTAAAAATGACTGGCAGGTGCGTTGATGGATTAAAGTTTGTTTTCTGCATTCCTTTCCTATAGTAAGCCCATTGATATTTGAAAAGTTACAATGCAGTAGTCTCTCAAGTTTCCTTAAAAGAGGAAATACTAATGCATCATACCGTGAACAAGTTGATAATAGTTACACAAAAGGCTTTCCAACTAGAATTGATTGTGAAGGAATAATAAATCCTTCACCAAGAAGCAGCCGTAGCGTTTAATGATCTCAAGTGTTTCCTCCATATATTTGTTCCTTTCTGTTCAAAGACCCCTTAAAGTAATATTGACCGTGTTGACCATAATAATTAATACTTTTTTTTCAACTGAATGCTATGAATCTCAAGAAAACATTAGCTTGCTTCCAATTGAAGACTCATGTGAAACTGACTGGCGCCCCAAATTTTCTGCTTTAGAGGACAAATGATTGTTGTAACGCCCCTAATTTTCTTAACCTAATTAGTGACGTCATCCATGCGTGCATGAATTATAAAACGGAAATTTATAATAAATAGCTTTGGAAAAAACACCAAGGTCTTACATAAAAGTTCAAAAACCCGAAATGAACATATCTTAGAATAAGAAAACATTCGTTAACTGAAACAGAAAATTTAAATTAAACAATTTAACTTAAAATCCCAATTAAAACATAAACTGTCCAACAATGCCTTCTCATCAACTTCCATGGTATCCTCAACCTCCACCGTCAACCGTGCATTGGTGCCTTACCTTTACCTGAAAAATTTAGGTAGTACGTGACTTGAGTATTTTATGTAATACTTAGTAAGTCACTCCATTGTTGGGGTTAGATATGCAAACACATGCAACATATGAGTGAGTCCTAATTTTCATAAACTTTACATGACCTTAGGCTCTTTTCTTTTTTGGAAAGGGTTGGACGTGTGGTACTTCTCCTCACACGGCCTGTGTACGTGCACATGGTTCCACCAGGCAGGCTCGTATACGTACCCCCTGGGTTTGGCTTGGTCGGGCACAATGTATTACACGTTCACCAGACGCCACAGAATAGATAAGACCCGCATGATATCATGGCGAACATAAATATCGTATTTTTACTTTCATGACATTAAAGAGAAGTATCTCGATGCAAATGACATACATATATGCATGAGGTTCCATGTCTTTTATTGCATGACATATTACGTAATACAAAATACGTTTCCTTTCCTTTATACATTTCATGATATAACTCAATTATGCTACGTGTATGCAAGACCACGTTCATCACATTCATAGCATGTAATATTATCATAACATCTAGAGCATTTCATAACACTACTAGAAAACACAATCAATCAATGCATAACATGATCATATCACATAAAAATATGGTGCATGCAAAAGCTACAGGGCACGAACCAACATACAACATAAATTAGGCTAATTCTAACAGGAAAGTCACTTACCTCGATGGCCTTGGCCAAAGTTACTCACAGTAAGCTAACTCCAACAGCTAACTACTTCTTCAAAAGGAAAAAACTAGGGCTGAAACGGCTACAGAAGGGCTGAAAACCTAGAAATTGATATATTATGAGTATACCGAGCCGACTGAGCTGCCAAGTCGAGTTGCGGGATGTGATGGAGCTGAGCCGACTGTTCGTACACGTGCGAGCCGAGCCACGACTGTGCACCCGTGCGAAGCTAAATTCGGAGCTGCAAGCGCGCGTCTGCGGAATCTGTATCCAGAAATGAAGACGTGCGTAATATTTAGTGGATATAGATTTCGCAGACGTGCGCACGTTGCCCCAAATTCGGCTTCGCACGGGTGCATAGTCGAGGCTTGGTTCGCACGTGTACAAATGGTTGACTCAGCTCCATCACATCCCCCGGCTCGGCTTGTCAGCTCAGTATAATCATAATATATCGATTTCTAGGTTTTCAGCCCTTCTGAAGCAGTTTTTGCCTTTGCTTCTGCCTTTTTAAGTAGTTAGCTTACTGTGAGTAACTTCGACCATGATCATCGAGGTAAGTGACTTTACTGTTGGAGTTAGCCTAACATATGTTGGTACGTGCCTTGTGGCTTTTGCATGCACCATATTTTTATGTGATACGATCATGTTATGTACTGATTGTGTTTTCTAGTAATGTTATGAAATGCTATGGATGTTATGATACTATTACATGTTATGAATGTGATGAATGTTGTCATGCATACACGTAGCACAATTGAGTTCTGTTATGAAATGTATAAAGGAAAAGAAACGTATTTTGTATTACGTAATATTTCATGTAATGAAAGACATGGGACCTCATGCACATCTGTATGTCATTTGCACTTCCCCTTAATGTCATGAAAGTAAGAATACGATATTTATGTTCATCATGATATCATGCAGGTCTTTTCTATTCTGTGGCGTCTGGTGAACGTGTAATATGTTGTGCTAGACCTAGGGGTACATATACGTGCCCGCCTAGTGGGCCCATGGCCGTGTGTGGAGAAGTACTACACGTTCAACCCTTTCTAGAAAAGAAAAGAGCCTAAGGTCATATAAATTTTATGAAAGTTAGGTCCCATTCATATGTTGCATGTGTTTGCATATCTAACCCCAAAAGTGGCTTGACTTACTGAGTATTTCATAAAATACTAAAGCCACGTGCTACCTAAATTTTTCATGTAAAGGCAAGCCATCATTGCACGGTTGATGGTGGAGGCTGAGGATACCATGGAAGTTGATGAGAGGGCATTGTTGGGCCGTTTATGTTTTAATTGGGATTTTAAGGTAAATTGTTGAATGATTGTTTTATTTAAATTTTCTGTTTTTTTATTCTGAGATATGTTCATTTCGGGTTTTTGAACTTTTATGTAAGACCTTGGTGTTGTTTCCAAAGCTATTTATTATAAATTTCCACTTTATGATTCATGCACGCATGGGTGATGTCACTAATTAGGGGTGGGTGTTACAGTTGTGGTTTTCGTCTACTTTTAATACCACAACACACATCCACCTGAGGCTTAGGAACCTACTTGAATTTCTCCCTTGAAAAAAGTAATTCTTCAGTTATTTGTATGCGTATGGGATTTTGTTTTATAACTCAAACTTGATACTTTGTTGCAGACAATCGGAACAACAGGCATGTTTCTTGCCTGTAAGATTGAAGAGACACCAAGGTTTCTGAATGATGTTGTTGTTGTGGCTTATGAGTTGATATACCAATGGGATCCTTCTGCCCCTAAAAGAATTAGACAAAAAGTACAATACTCTGCCTATTATCTTCTTTAACATTTATGTTGAGTGATCGGATGACCGAATGAAAATTCTGCTTGTAGGAAGTTTTCAACAAACAAAAGGAACTAATCTTGATTGGGGAGAGGCTTCTATTGTCAACGCTTGCATTTGATGTCGACGTTCAACTTCCCTACAAGCCACTTGTTGCTGCTCTAAAAAGATTAGGAATGGCTGCTGATCTTGGGAAGGTGGCCTGGAATTTTGTAAATGATTGGTAAAGATCTTCATCTTACTCACAAGTTTCTGTTCACTTCGTGCTAGTTTGATGTAATTTTTTTAGTGAATTGTAGTTTATCTTTTAGAGATTAATGTCACCATGAAACTTGTAGGCTTTATACAACATTGTGCTTGGAGTACAAACCCCATTATATTGCTGCTGGTTCGATATTCCTCGCTTCCAAATTTCAAAAAGTGAAATTGCCTTCGGATAGGGGAAAGGTTTGGTGGATGGAGTTCGATGTTTCACCGAAACAGTTACAAGGTTCTTAAAATGAATCTTTGTACTCATATTTTATTGTCGCTTGTTGAGAGCATTTATCATTTTCTTTGGAATTCTTTCAGAGGTTATACAGAAAATGTTGAAGTTATTTGAGAAAGATAGAAAACAAAACCCACCACCTTCAAAGACTCATCAGCCTGAACCTTTAGATGGACAGACAAGGGTTGATAGCTCCCAATCATGTATATCCAGCGTGACAATTTCCGATCAGCTTGATAGTCATGATGCCACGACGGAGGCCAGTGACTGCAATGAGCCTGTACTGCCTAATTGTTGCCACAATCAGGAAACTATGAATTACTGCATCAGTCCTGTGGAAGTTTTACCCTGCCAAACAAGCGATACTGGGAGTTCAAGTAGCGCTATCGACAATGGTGATACTGGGATTTGTCGGAGTACCGAGGAAATTTATACTGATCAGACCACGCAGTCAACAACTGGTTCTGTATCTGTTTCTAAGGACTTCAGTAAGATAAACGTATTCCAACTCAGGGAGGCAATAAAGAGAAGACGACTTTGTAGAGTTACAAGTACAAAGGAAGTACAGCCCATGAGCCCCGATATTGACAGCGAAGCATGGATCGAAAAGGAGCTGGAACATGGAATAGAGTTAGAATATGAATCGTCATTGAAAAAGAGAATAAAGGCATCTTGAAGTTTGCAATGCTTACTGATTAAGTATCATCAATATTTTTCTTGTCAGAGATTTTGATTAATTCCAGGAAATTCTGATTCTGTAAGTATTAAGATTTTCAGCTTATTATTCATTCTTTTGATAGTTCTATCCTCCATCTCTTGTGTAGTCTAATAACGTACCACTACATATATCTCGCTCATCATTGATAGTAAATGTTTATATGGAAGTGTATTTATATCACAACGTTCTATTCGTTCTTCAATGAATGTATTAGCCTTTATGTATCCAATCTTAGTTACTTTTGTGATCTTTTCTTCTTTATGTGAGTGAGATAAAGCAGTTAGTTGTACAATTTGACCTTTCGGATATAAATATATATACAGGTAATTATTTTCAACACTCCTGATTTCGTCTACAAGATCGTATCACATTTATTTTTATGCAGTTTTGTTATATTGCTTGTTGATTTTTCCTCGTGTTTAGGTTGCTTGGATCATGTTAACACTAAACGCAACACGTTACTATTGTAATACTTTGTTTTACTGGTATAATGCCACTGTTTTGAAGTTGGGTTCAGAATCTTTGGAGTTGGATTCTTCCCAATCTAAGGAGGGTGGGAGAATCCCTCCAGTATATGCCACATTACTGTGTATTATTAGCTTTTGTCCTATGAATCTGCTAGAAGCCCAAAGCCATCGGAAGATTTAGTAGAAGAATTTATTGAGTCCAGGTACCTTTCCCTGCCCATAGGAGGTAGTTCTCCAGATTCTTCTTTTAGGGAGTGGAGTAGTAGGACTTATTGGGGACTATTGTGAGATCTCACATCGGTTGGAAAGGAGAACGAAACTCTCGTGGGTTTGGGCTATTACAAATGGTATCAGAGCCAGACACCGAGTAATGTGGTAGCGAGAAGGCTAAGCCCCAAAGGAGGGTGGACACGAGGCCATGTGCCAGCAAGGATGCTAACCTTGAAGGGGGGGTGGATTTGGGGGTCCCACGTTGATTGGAGAAGGGAACGAGTGCGAGCAAGGATGCTGGGCCCTGAAGGGGGGTGGATTGTGAGATCCCACATCGGTTGGGGAAGAGAATGAAACTCCCTTTATAAGGGTTTAGAAACCTCTTCCTAGCAGATGGTTTTTAAAAACCTTGAGGGGATAGCCCGAAAGAGGATGCCCAAAGAGGACAATATCCAGAATATATGATATCACTCTCACTAACTTTTCTCTTAAAAACCTTTCACTCCCTCCTAGCAGAAGCAAATCACTTGGAAGCGCAGCAGTTTTTCGAATGCCGGTGAAGTTCTTTATCCTTTGTTGCTTGATTTTCTGTTCCTGGTGAGCTTGAATCATGCATAAGGGGATGTCATCATGTACATTGGCACCCATGATCTTGCATTGCTACTATTATACAAACCTCATAGACAGCAAGGCCATAGGGAATCAAATTGTATAAGGCAAAGCTTTTAGCTTACTTAGCATTATAGAAAGAAAGACATTCTCAGGCAGGGTGCTTGGTTTCATCCTCCTTTTGTGAGAGACCATTTTCTTTCTTTTCTTTTTCTTTTTTCCTTTAGTTAAATGGCTTGTCTCTTTCCAACACACCTTTAAATCTTATTTACTTTAAAAACTCCTTTTAGAAACCGTGGAGAAACGTCTTTTGACTTGAATAGTATGTTATATTGAACTTTTATGTCGAAAACGATCGTCAAATAATTGCAGGGAATGAAAAAACTGGATCCTATCATATTTCGTTCTTATGTATCGAAACTATACTAACGTCATCATATTCTTTGAGTAGGTACAAGCGTGGTGAAACTCACCAACCGTTACAGGGAAGGACCGTAGAGAAAACGAAAAAGCCAGCTTGTCGATTCTGCATCTCTGTGCATGGCTTAGAGCATACCAGTAAGTTTTAACCATCTCTAAGTTAATTTCTTTTAACCATTGTTTATCTGCCTCTTTGTTGAGATTTAGAGCATACCAGTATGATAAATTTGGATTAGTCTATGGAAATACTTCATTCATAGAACAAATTTTGCTCTGATAAACACCATTTGAGAAGGGGTTAATTGAGTTTGGTTGTTTTTTACCCAAGTTAAAAGCTATGGCTTTGTACTTTATAAAGGATACACCTTTTACTGAATGACAGGGATGAGGTGATGGACCCATATGCTATAAAGTTCTCAATCATAGAAAATGACTTTTTTTTGGGATTTGTTCATGAAGTTGAATTCCTATCTTCATTCAACAAGAGCGTGTACGTTTTTGTTTGATTTCTCATGTCGTGTTTACTGTTTTCTACCCACAAAAACTCGATGAGGGTTTTCCCGTTTGCCTGTTTGCCCGTTTGCCCGTTTTCCAGTTGTATGCTAGGTTTGAGCGACTACTGTTGAGTTATGTGATGAATGATTGTTCGGTTTACGTGTTCTATATGTGTGTTTCTTGTAATGAAATGATGTTATGGGACCGTGCACGAGTGGGGAAACCTTTTGGAAATGATAGTGTCGAATAAAGGAGACGAGAGCTTTAGATACAAAAGAAAGGGGGAAAAAAGAGGGAAATGTGGTCAAAGATATAAAGACATTTTGCATATATATATATATACATATACAACTCTTTTTTTAAGATTACTTGAATTATTTTTTAACTTTAAAGCTTTAATGATGTCATATTTAATTAATTTGTTAAGAAAAATGTGGTCAAATAGGCCAGTTTATAGCAGCATAAATGATTCAATTATTTGATTGGTTGCTTAAAATTGTTTTATCCATTCTTTTAGGTGCCAAAGAGAAGCATTATAAAAGGAGGTATCATTCATGAAGAGATGAGAGAACAGAGATAGCCTCTTATTCTTCTTTTGCTTTTGCTCTTCTTTTTCAGCAATGGATTTCTCTGCTAATCTCCATCACCAACTTCAACTCGAGAACCAATTGCTTCTTGGTTCCGGGAACGGGCATGCCTGGAACCCCGACGTCACATTGTAAGTACTTTCGAATACTCGTTGAATACTCGACATGTCATGTTTCTATTGATTCGTTAATTGTATGGTATGTTGATGAGTTGGGAAACTTGCGAACTTGTGGATTTGATTGAGGGGATAGGAATTGGATTAGGAAAAATGAACGAGTTTGTAATAGCCCAAGCTTATTGCTTGTAGATATTGTCCGGTTTGACCTGATATGTATCGTTGTCAGCCTCACGGTTTTAAAACGTGTCTATTAGGGAGAGTTTTTTATACCCTTATAAGGAATGCTTTGTTCTCCTCTCTAACTGATGTGGGATCTCACAATCCACCCCCCTTGGTGGTCCAGTGTTCTCGCTGGCACACCGCTCAATGTTTGCCTCTAATACCATTTGTAACAACCCAAACCCACTGCTTGTAAATATTGTTTGCTTTGGTTCATTATATATTGTCGTCGGTCTCACGGTTTTAAAATGCGTTTACTAGGGAGAAATTTCCACACACTTATAAGGAATGTTTTGTTCTCTCTCCAACTGATGTGAGATTTCACAATCCACCCTCCCTCGAGGGTCCAGCGTCCTCGCTGGCACACTGCTTAGTGCCTATACTATTTCTAACAACCCAAGCCCACTACTAGTAGATATTGTTCGCTTTGTTCCGTTACGTATCACCGTCAACCTCACGATTTTAAAACGCATAGTGAGAGGTTTCCACACTTTTATAAGGAATGTTTTGTTCTCCTCTCCAACCAATACGGAATCTCACAAAGTTCAAAAGACACAAAAAAGTGTTGAATGCTTACTCTAGTTAAGATTCAAGTTCAACTATCGTGTACAACTAAATACTTTCTGGTCTTTCACATCCAATAATTACGTTTGTATCATTAAACCTTGTCGAGAATTTGATTGCAGTTCCCCAAGCTGCGAATTCGAGCCAAGTTTTCACCTTCAGGACGTGAATCCCGCTACCATTATCGACGGAGAGAGCTGCTACACATACACAAGCTTGCAGCATTATTTCCATGGAAGCAAAGATAAAAAGTTCATAGAAAAAGGAGAAGAAGAGGCATCAGCTTCTTCTCCCAAAACCAATGGAACATTGAACAGCCATTGTTGCAGCTTTGAAGATTTGAACAAGATGGCTCAAAGCTGCTGCTGCTGCACCAAGATTCATCCTACTCTTAATGTTTCTTCAAGGCAGCCATTGATGGCAGAGCTGTCCAGCTTTTTCGGGTTCGATCATACCGTCCCCTTCCAACAATCAACGAAAGTAAGTCGTTTTTGTTGTTTTTTTTACTTCGATTCTATTTTTATCAACGAACTTTTATGTTTAATTTATTTCCGTTTTTTTTATATATTCTTTTAATAAAATTTATTTAGAATATATAAGATAAATATTTAATAATATTAAATAATATAAATTGAAGATGCCAAACCATGAAATTACACAAGCAAAGAGGCCTTGTAGCTTGAAGCAGCAAAAGCCAATTCAAGCCCCGCCAAAGAAGCCGCGAGTGGAGCCACGCGCCACTTGCCCTCCTTTGAAGGTATGCTTATATTTATATTATAAATATTATTTTTTTATTAAATAATATTAAATATAATTTCAATTAAAGAAGGATATAAATGTAAATGAGTATATTTAGCCTTTATTTTTTTATTTAAAAATAATTAATACTTTTTTACATATTATAAAATTTAAATTTATTTTTTAATTTTGGTTTAAACAGATTAGGAAAGAGAAATTAGGAGACAGAATTGCAGCACTTCAACAATTAGTGGCACCGTTTGGTAAGGTATGAAAAAAACAATTTATTATTATTTATATATATATATATATATATATATAATTTCTCATTATATATAATATTAAAAAATATTTGACTTATTTTGTCAATTACGAAATTGCCCTTGCAGACTGACACAGCATCAGTTTTAATGGAGGCCATTAGTTATATTAATTTCCTTCAAAATCAGGTTGAGGTATTACTTCTATTTTTTTTTTCTTTTTCTTTTTTTTTTGATAAAAATAAATTAAATTACTCGAAAAAATTATAATTTAGTTCTTAAAAATTTTGAAAATTGTCTAAAATTTGATTATTTATGAGAGTTTTAATCAATTAAACTAATTTTAATATTGTTTTTTTAAATCATACCCAAAATTTTAATTTAGCCTTAAAATTAAAAATAGGGAATTACTAAAATTTAAACTAAATTTGATAATAAATATGAGAGTGAAAAAATAGGAAAGAAATATGGTTATAAAAATTAAAAATATTTTCATAAAATCTCTTTAATGTTCTATTCTATAATATATTAAATGCATTTTATGGAATTGATGAATAAAAGTGATGTATTAAATAATATTTTCTTTTATTATTAAAACAATTTGTTTTTGGTAAAAGAAATTTGTGGTAAATTAATTGTTCAATTTTATTGTTTCAGATGCTAAGCCACTCTTACATGAAGTCGGGTCGCAGCAAAAACTACAAAACGACATGTCGGGTGAGAAATTCTTTATTTAATTATTTCGTTTCCAACCAATTTATTTAAAATATTCCAAACTAAAATTTTAAAATTTTCAATTTTTCCGCAGAAAATATAATGTTATCGAATAAAGCTAATTTAATTTTGGAAAATTTCTAATTTTTAATCCCAAGTTGTATTATTTTTATTTATTATTATTATTATTTTTATAAATTCACTATTTTCAGTAAAATCAAGATTGATGGTAAATAACTTTTCCTAGATCCACAAATTTTAACACAAGTTGACAATTCCAAAATTTTTAAAATTTAGGGTTAAAATTACAAATTTATCTAAATTTGAGGTGTAATCTAATGAAATTGAAAGTTTAGACTCCCAAAGTTAAGGGTAAAAATGGTAAAAATGGTTTTTTACCCTTGTATTTTTATCTTATATTTGTAAAAAATTTAGTTTTACTGCTTCTCACAAAAAAAATTAAATAATTTTACAGGATGAATCAAATGAAAAGGACAAAAAACCAGAGAGTGATTTAAAAGCCAAAGGGTTATGCTTAGTTCCAACGTCTTGCATTTCATACTTGCCGGAAGATACTTGCACCGGCGGCAGAATCGGCAACATTTGGCCGCCGTTGACGGCGGCTAGTTTCAATCGGAGAACATTTTGATGGGTTTTGTGGATGAAAAAGGGGTAATATGACATGTAAATACAAAAAAAAAAAAACTTACTAATGTGGAGTAAATTTGGTCACTCTCTTTGTGATGATGATAGAGATGAAGCACCTATGATCCATTCATAATGGATGCTTTGTAAATGACTTTAAATTAAAATGATCTTTGTTAATGAATTGACCTAATTGGTTTTAAGCATGAGGTCTAATATTGTCTGTCTATAAATTTCATGATATTGTCCACTTTGAGCATAAGCTCTCATGGTTTTGGTTTGAGTTTTCCCAAAAGGCCTCACTCTAGTAGAGATAGTATTCTTGATTATAAACTCATGATCATTCCCTAAATTAGTCGATGTGGGGCTTTCATCTAACACCTCAGAGCAAAATAGGCCTCCCCTCGAACAAAGTACGCCTCCCCTTAATCGAAGCTTGACTCCTTTTTTCAGAGCAAAATAGGCCTCCCCTCGAACAAAGTACGCCTCCCCTTAATCGAAGCTTGACTCCTTTTTCACTCCTTTTTCTTTTGGAGTTATTTGTTCAACATTTGAAGATTCTATTGAAGCTTGACTCCTTTTTCACTCCTTTTTCTTTTGGAGTTATTTGTTCAACATTTGAAGATTCTATTGATTATAAACTCATGATCATTCCCTAAATTAGTCGATGTGGGGCTTTCATCTAACACCTCAGAGCAAAATAGGCCTCCCCTCGAACAAAGTACGCCTCCCCTTAATCGAAGCTTGACTCCTTTTTTCAGAGCAAAATAGGCCTCCCCTCGAACAAAGTACGCCTCCCCTTAATCGAAGCTTGACTCCTTTTTCACTCCTTTTTCTTTTGGAGTTATTTGTTCAACATTTGAAGATTCTATTGAAGCTTGACTCCTTTTTCACTCCTTTTTCTTTTGGAGTTATTTGTTCAACATTTGAAGATTCTATTGACATAACTAAGTTTAGGACATAACTCTGATATCATGTACAACCATTTTCTTCAGGCACAACAGGCTAATGAACATCGAGAGTCACTATAACTCACTGCACTATAAATATCAAACTACTTGAAATGTCACATTTCAAGAAATTTTTTACTTATGTGACTCACCTAAATTTTTTTCTGCCATCAACATAACGTTCACAACACACGCCTTGCATAACCGCCAAGCCAATGCTTGCGAGGAAACGTGCAAAATGATTTGGTTTTGAAGATATGTCACCTCTAAATATTGAGTTCAAATTTCCTACCAACAATTGACCAATTGTAATTTTATTAGACAACTAAATTATTATGAAAAAAAATGCATGATATAAAAAGGAACAGAAACAGAGTAGGGTTTCTAGAAGTCAAATATCACTTCACTCATCTAAAGAAATGGATCAGATTCAAATAAAAATGAAGCTAAGAATGCAGGGGAAAATGAGGTAAAATCAGAAGCATGACCTTTCTCCTCAATCCCTCGATCTCGTCTTCTCCCAACTCTGTCCCTTGTCTATTTGTGTTGTTCTTTCATTGAATGCCCCAACTCCCCTTCAGAACTTGGAACATTGTATTACACATGGCTCTCCTACACTAGCCCTCATCAAATTAGGTCTCTGTGCAATCAATCTACCATCTTGACGCTGAGGCGTTGCTCTGCAATGTGCAATGTGCAGTGTGCGTGCTACTATGTCAGCTACCTCTCTTTTCAGAAAGTTTCTAGTTTCTTGGTCAATTTTCATTCTTTTACATACCTGCAATGGAAGAATACAATTCTAGCAAATTATGAGGTGAAATAATGACTGGAATAGGATTAGTAAAGGAGAGGGGTGAAGTATAGATGGAGGAAAGTTAAAAAAGAGAACAAGTACACGGATATAACACACACCATGTGAGAGCTGTAAAACTCAAGAAGTAAAAGATTCAAAATCATGGATTGTGTCTGAGAAAAGAGACCATACATTGTTAGGTAATGCAATCGACCAACCAAAACTGTGTAATGAAATCCTAAAAGGAATTAGCAAAGAACAAGCTATGAAGAGGTGACTGAGATTCAGGGCCATTTTTTGCACATAATACAGCAGCTAGGAGATAAAGAAATGCCCGCTGATTCACGCTGGAGCTCATCTTGTGTGTTCAAGCAAGTATGACTAAGTTCCACATAAAGAACTCGACTTTCTTTTGGATAATACCCCTCAAGATCATCTTATGTAAGTTTTCTTTGCTATGCTCGATGAAGCCAGGGTTCTGGACAGAGATTTAGATGAGAAGCCATTCTTGTATAAATTCCAGATCCATAAATCCTCCCGATCAATTAATTCAACTTTCGAAAGAGCATTGGATAATCTAGCCTAGGCGTCTTCCAAGACTTAAATTCCAAGATGTTGTAACATAAAACCACAATGCAGAGATGACTTGAGAGCATATATGGAGGGTAGTCATCCCTGAAAGTTCTATTCTCCAACCAAAAGTCTGTCAACAACCGAGAGCCTTGACCTCGGGTAGGCTATCACCTTTAATCTATCAATGTATTTCCAGGCGCCCTTTATCTATGGAATGGAAGTATGTTCTGGCTTTTGATCATAGTGTATTAATCCATACTTTGAGGCAATCATTTTTCTCCACAATGACTACTTAAATGTCATTAAATTGACCAAAACACAACCCATTTAAGGCAGCACTATATGAGGAATGCTTCCAAGGGAAAAAGACACGTAAATAACATCAAATCAATAAGAGAATGCTTTTTATTTTCTTAAACCACTTCAGAGAAGTTGAATTGGGAGAAGCCATGGGATTAAGTGCGGGTCAATCTATTGGTGAATCCGGCACTCAACTAGCATTAGGAATCTTTTATACTTGTAGATATTGCAAAACATACAAGAACCCCTAATGGAAAAATAAAATTCTCTCGGGAATTGCCTGCTCATCTTATATTTTGCCACCTAACCAATCAACCTTTTATGAGATTTTTTTTTTCCCTTTGGAAGGAAATTCTTGAGAGATATTTGTTTTCCATGCAGCAAATAAATACAAATAAGATCAAAGTGTGCAAGAGAGTGACCTTTTCAATCGCCCCTTTTTTAGGGAAGGATACAGCCAAGAGCAGCCATTGCATTGGACCATGAGATACACAGCACTCAAGCATACCCCACAAATCCTTATCTGAAGGTCCAGATATAGACATGGGCAACACTAACCCTGCATCGCCAGTATTCTGTGAACATTAGTAATCAATTATATTATAGATATCAAACAAGTTCAATCTACACGGAAAATGTATGCATTTGCAATTCGCTGGTAATAATTTCATTGTTATGAAAACTAAATGCTTGGAAATTTTCCTAAATGATACACATATGGATCAATAAGACTGGAAGCCAGGTAAACAAGTAAATTATGGAAAATCAACATGATGATCATAACCCCCAAGACGTGGATCTAGTGGTAAAGGTTTAGAATATCTGAGTTACCCTGCCTGAGTTCAAGCCTCAAAGTAGAAAACTTAATAACTTAATATATTAAAATCCTCACTGTCACTTAGAACTAACCTTGGGATGGGCGAAAGTCTATCCAAGGATTTGTAGGGCAGTCATGATCATAAAACATGATCATTGAACCATGATGACATATGATAGTTTTTGTTACAACACAGTATCTTATAAGAGCCATGAACAAATATAGTAAAACAGTAAATATAAAGTAGTGTGTGACTAGAAGTCCAGAACATGTTTTGCCCTTTCCATGAAATTCGTACTATAAAAATTATGGTAAGGAAAGCAGCCGAAGTATTGAACTTACCACATACACAAGTAAATCCTCAGTGAGGCAATTGTTCCTTAATATTGGGGATCTACTTTCCAAGCTTAGACTTGTAAAATTTTGCATTTGAAATATCACCAACTTTCCCTTTCTCTATTTTCCTGTAGAGACTCACTATCTTCTTGTCCAATTCATAATATTCTTCCATCTTCTTCATAGGTTTCAAATCCAAGTCAATGAAGTGTGCCTGAAATATAGTAAGCAAATAACTTCCCACATCACAAATAATTGACACCTTAAAGAGGAGAAAACCTAAATAAACTGGTAATCATTTCTTTTGTGCATTTAGATTTGAACTGAGTTGGTTTCCAAAAACACGGTTGATTGAAGTAAAGCTCATAACTGAAGCAGATGGCAAATAGTTTACAATAGCCAAAAGAGATGCAGCATCTAAATATCATTGAAAAGAAAAGATCCATATATATTGGTTGACCTGATAAATCATTAATAACATAAGTTACATAAGCAAATTTCATTATAATAACGCCAAATAGTTGGTGTGATGCTTGCTTGATTCAATGTTCATGAACTGTTTCTGAAAGCCAATTCTTTTTGTTCCTCGTAAATATACCTCACATTTCTTTTGGAAAAGTTATAATATAAAATGCTTTCAAATAATCTGGCATCCCTTTGAAATGAACAGAATGAAAAAAAAAATGAATTACATGTACCTTATAATCAAAAAATTTCCCTGATTCGAGGCGTATTGTGTTATTTGAAGACCCCCATTCTTCACCTACTCTTCGCCTAAAACTAATCATCAAGCTACAGTCTTTAGCAGTAGCAGCTATCAAAAAGTTTTTGACAATCTTTAAGCTTTGATCAAGAGGGAGGGAATGCAAAGAGGCATATCTATGCAATTCTTCATCTTCATTCAACTGTCCACAAACCACACAAGGCTCTGAAATTACATCATAATATGCATGAATAGCACCTTCTATGTCCAAACTATCAAGCTTCTGGACTTCAAGAAGTCGATCCATAACTCCAGATTTGTATAAAGTTTCAGTGACAAGCTGTAGCAAGCTAGTTGTACACAGACCAATATCTGCTCGAACATCAGACTTGAGTGCATCTTCAAATGCTTCCCCAACAATCACGTCAGTATTTTCTGCAGAACCACCCAAGGCCCCAAATATAAGAGAGCCATTCAAGAACACACGAAAGTTGTTTTGAGGGGTCGAAAAAAGATCCTTGACTGCTTTAAGTATACGATCCTTGGAACCAGAGAAGAGATCTAGAGGATCATAATCACTGAACTCCGATATCTACAAAATAAATAAAATTCAACAACGGTGAAAACTAAAATATTAACAAATTAAGGCTGCGAGATTAATTAAAATAAGGTTAAATTGCAAATTTGGTCCCTATAATTGGGAGAGTTGAAGTTTAGTCCTTATGATTTTAAAAGTAAGAATTTCATCCTTGTGATAAATCTCCAATTTATGAAGATTTTATCAAACCATATGATTAATTCTAACATTTAAACCCATATAAACTAAATTCCAACTTTCTCCAAACCATAGAGACCAAATTTGCAATTTAACTTTCTCCAATTTTTTTTTTTTAAAATAATAATAAATAAGAGATAAGAACCTCATTATCAACAAACGAAGAACACACAGGCCTAAAGGGTTTAGGGATGAGAGATCCCAAAGCCTAATTTGGAGGGTTGAAGAAAGATTACCTCTTCTTGATGCAGCTTAAGGGCTTGGTGCATTCTGAAACGAGTCATACACCGTTTAACAGCATTGCCATGGGTTATGAACCTTGAGAATGGGATAAACCCACATTTTGGCTTTTGGGGAAAGAGGAAAACAAAACACAGAAGTGAAAAGTGAACCACTTTTAATCATTCATTGGGAGCAATGCTGGCAGAACTAAACTACTTGATGACTAAAAAAACAAAATAAATACCTAAAAGAAAGAAGTACCTTTATTTCAACAGATATGCAAGGTTCCCCATCTAAAGCACCTGAAATAGAGAGAGAATAAAATTCAATCACCAGGATGAAATAGTGAAAACAAGTGAAAACTAACAATCAGGGGAAATTAATAAGGACGTCACCATCTGCCTGAGATCATGGCTGCAAGTAAGGCCAGGCAATTGGTGAGCTAACATTCCATTCCCAACAGAAATCAAGAGTGGGAAACAGATAATCCATTGGCTTATATTTTTCAAGAGCATGCAGAAGATGGATGCAATCTATCAACAAAATCATATACGGCACAACAATCGACCATTCATCAAGATCATAGGTTGAAATGTTATCCCGGATATCTAAATGTCTAAAATAAACTATAAAACAACTCAGAAGATGCAGTCTCTTTATTTTTCTGAGAAAAAGGAGAGAGATAGAGGGAGAGAGTGGAACCAAAATGCCACAACACATTAGTCATTAAAGAACCTATCTCACTTCAAAACTAGCCCTCCTTCACCAAGATAAGTCGATAGATTTAAATCAATGGACATAAGACGCCCCAATATATCAATTAGTTCAGCTAAATTTTACCATTATTTTGAAAATTTCTAAGCTAATCTACAAAACAGCCCCAAATGCCCAACTCTGACCCCCACCCTTTATCTCCAAATACAAGAAAGGGAGGAGAGGGGAGCATAGCCGTATAATGGGGGTAGATGTCATGGGTGGTAGATACCAAAATGGATAGAAGATTAATTTTTGCATCTAGATGAGAACTTTAAATTTTTGTAGAATTTTCATTTTAAACGTGAGGAAAGTAGAGATAGCAAGGTTGATTTAATTCGGGCAATGGAAGATCCATATTCCAGGAAGGTATCTGCAGCAACTACATTTTCAATACATTGGGAAATAGTTTATAATATATGGCGAGGCTGATTGATGTTTGCTACCGGCAAGGTTAATAGTGAGTTGAGATAGGTAAGGTGGTTAGGCTGCCATGTACATTCTGCTAGTTACTCCTATATTTCTGTTAGACTCTTATCTCCCTTATCATTTACCCGGGACCAAAAAAAAAATGACAACTGTTAATTAGTTAGCAGCATATTAAAGAACGGAAGAGAGTGGGCTCAATGCACCAAACCACTTGAATGCTTAGGGAAGCCTTGTAATATTCCTTCCAAAATGATGCAATTCTATTATTTCTTCGATTTCTTAGCTACTAGCAGCTCCCCATTTAAAATAAATCAAGCCAAGCAAGTAGTTTTATATTTCTCTTTCGAAGAAGAAGTTGCTATCATGTGAACCTACTAGGAAACCCTGTTCGTATAATGTGCAAAGGCTCTATCTGCCCCTTGGTGTTCATTTCTTGGGGAGAAGGGACCATTGGGAACAAGTCATGCTACTTTGAAAGAAAATAGTAGAATAATTGCATGAAAGACCAAGTCTGAATCAATAAGTTGACTAGAATGTAGACAGCTTCTTCACCTTGTCCTGAAGTGAACAAATGGCAAGTCCACACATACTACAAATGCACACTGTCCGCTTCTATATAACAAAATGCAGAGCTACAACAGTATTTAATAGAAAAGATGTAGAAAAACAATTATTACCGTGAGGGAATATGGAATGATCAGATAGAATAAGAGCATAATCACGTTGTGTATCAATCTTTCCAGTATTTACCCTCCAAGATGGCCGTTGACTACTTACTTCCTTCTCTGCCAACTCTAAAAACTCTCTGCTTACTTTGACAAGTTTCTGCAAGTGTAAATGAATACCATGCTCAGAAATTTATATCAAGTCCACGAGGTAAGTTATCACAGCCTCAACAACGATTCATGTATTCACTTTTAATGGTAGAATTAGACGAAATGAAAAAGGTATACAATCAGCTGTATTTCTGGAAATTTATCAACCCACTTAAAGAGGAAAAGAAAAACATACACCAGCATCGACGTGTTTGGAACCTAATAAGGGGCTCATCACATGCTGCACAAAGGTTTGGGCAGCAATGTCCCTGTCAGTACACGAGACAAGGTTCCCTATGTCACCCCACAACAAGTATTCGTACTTGGTAAATGTAGTTGGACTCCTCGCACGTTGTGACCCATTGATGGGAGCCTTTTGAATACGCATAACTTTTCCAATCTACACCAAGAAGAATAGTTAGTCCCAAAAAAGTTATAAATCCCCAATTCAGTATCCTCTCTTTTTTAGATTGAATTCAAATCATCCCTTCACTTAGATCTTAACAATATCCTAGCTATCCAATGCCCCATTTCCCGGCCACACTTGCAACTACAGAAAAGTCTCTGCAACAATGTATAAACTGCCAAATTCATCCTAATGACAGACCACTTTTAACAATGAGAGAAAGGGGCCACAAATTCAACATACAAAAGCTGGAGAGGAGCCAGTATAAGCAAGAACAATATTAGCGGCTCCTTCGCCTCTATAAACCCAATCCGCAGCATCCTTCTCTTTTAGTACAATCTCCATCCCGTGCGTTCGTCCTCTGAAATTGTTCCAACCGTTTAAAAAAAAAAAAAAAAAAAGACGCAACAACATCCCAATAATGAATCATCCTCATATTCGAAAAAAATTCAAATACCTGATCTGAAAATCGCACATTGTCCGCAGGTACCGGGTGATATAAACCCTAGATATTCCGAGAAATCCCACATTCCACAATGCAGCTATGATTTAATACAATAAACAACCTCAAAATAATCGCGAGAAGAATGTGAAAAAGAATTGAACCAGAAAAAACAGAGTTTAACGAGATTGGGAGTGGAATTTCGGGGACGGAGGTGCAACGATCAGCTCAGCGGGACATGTCGATCAAATACAGCGGATGAGATCTGAAAGAGGGAAAGGCAATTTTTGGATTACAGGGATGAGATGTTTTTGTTCTACGCAATCTGGCGGGGTTTTGGGAAGATTTATCATATAAATATAAATAAAATATTATATTCAATATTTATTAATATTTATTTCTCTCTTTTTTAATATTAAATATAAAAATGAGTTGTTATAAGTAACAACTTCAAAAACTAAATTGTTATTTTCTTAAAAATTCACGAATTAAAAGTATTTTATTATTATTATTATTATTATTTTTCCCTTTCACCTTAGACAATGTATTTAAAAAATCTATTTAAAACAAAAAAAAATAATTTTGTATCTAATTAATTAATGAAATTATCAACAATAATCTATTAAATTAAAAATCAAAATTTCTCGAAAATATTTATTAGAGGCTTTTTTTGAAGTATAAAAACAAAATAAATATAACCTTATTTTTGGTGAAATTCTTTCAAGTTGGTTTTAACGTACCCGATCTCATTTCCTCATATGGTTGATTCTTTGGTTGTGCAGGGATCTTGTTGATCTTTATCTGGTGAATCCATGGCGAAGTTATCAAACCTCGGTTCAAGCAACAACGAAATGAAGAACAAGAAGAAGAGTGCTGGTGTGAAAGCCTTGTCGATGAAGGTCTGTGCGCTGAAGGAGAATCCATTCGAAGGAACGTAAGGGAGAAGAGCGTCGTATTGGCCTGGCTCGTTCACTCGCGATTGGAAAGGTAGTGTATAATTATTGTGAATTGTTTGATTTTTGCTTTACTTTATGTGAGTGTTGTTTCTTCCTTTAGTTTGATCGTTAGGTTTTTTTCTTCTTCTTTTGTGTGTTTTGTGCTGCAGAGGAAAATGATGCTGTTGAAGGAGTACGAGCAAAGCGGGAAGGCTAAGGAATTTTCCGATGAGCGAATTGAGGAATGGGACGAAGAGCTTGGGAATTTGACGAGGCTATTTTACGTTCGCAGTGCGAATGGAAGGTGAGTGCAATGGTCTGTTCCGAGCATTTGGTTCTAGCATCATTTACTGCTATCTGTTCTGATTGCATTTTTTCTTTAGCTAAAACTGAACAAGAGCAGAAAATTTAACTTATCAAATGGAGAAGAGGATGATTATCCTGGAAGCCAAAGTCTTGGCGTATGCTTAAGAAACGTTTTAAAAAACGTGAGCGAGAAAATCCCTGAAGAAAATTTTAGAGAAAACAATGTTATAGACTAAAAACGAATAAGCAACAACAACGATTTTGATAGCATATAATCTGGGTGTAAACATGATTTTAGTGACCGGTCATGCACCCTCTATATTGACACAGCAAGAAATAGTAAAGTCTTATCCAACATGAAAGCAAGTAAAGGGATATGGAACGGGCATGTAACTATGGACAACACGTTCTGAACAACCATGACCGAGACATCCGTCATGCGGCCACTGGCAATACGCCTTGGACAAGCATGACCATAAAAGTTCTTTATTACTAAGGTGTTCGCTTGTGCCTCCAGTAATTAGGTGCGTGATCTTACCGATAGATCTTACATGTAAATACTAAATTTCTAGAAATTTGGTGTTTATTACAAAAACAAACGGCCTTTTTCATGAATCATGAATCATGAATATGGTATTAATGTCTGGTTCAGAGATTCTATGGTATTCTTTTGCAATATTTTTCTGTATCAGCAAATAAGAAGCCAGCCATTAAATGTGGAGCTACTAAATTTGCTTCTCAAGCCATCGACAATTTTGTGTTGATAATAAGAATCCAGGTTTATTTGCTTGCTCCTGTAGTATATGCACTTAAATACTCTTATGTACATAACTCAATTTCAACTTTTCTTGCTGAGAATAGCTCGTTGCCTTCTTCTTCTCTTTGAGGCAGTGGTAAATGATAATTCCTTGCTTTGACTACTTACACGGGTCTATAGTATATGGATAAGGTTGAGTGTCTTACCCTGGTAACACTGTTGATACGATCCACTTTGTAATTGTTATAAATGATTTGATTCAAATCGTTCATGTGGAGACATGTAAGTGGGAGTATCCTATACAATAAGTTTATTAAAGGCTGGACTAAGAAATATTTAATCTCTCGTTATAAATCCGTTAATTGAGAAGATTAATATTTCACATGATGATCATATGCAACCCGATCTTAATCCTAAGTGAATTATGAACCCCGGCTGGTGAGGCTTATCCTTTAATATATATATTTTTTTAATATGACCATGTCTGTTGGGATATTGCAATTGTGTCTTTCTTGTGTGTTCACTGCTGCTCTTTGTATGTTAAGCTACTTACATTTGTTAAGTGAATGTTTGCGTTGTTTTATTTAACTATTCTTTTTCATGGAGTAGCTTTTCTGCCGTTGTTTCTCAAGGAAAGCTCCATTTAAAATGCAGGTAGCCAACCAATCTTTGAAGTTCTGTCCTGAAGCAATAAACTTTCCCCAAGCTCTGTTGACCACCGCTGCTGGTAGAACTGGTCATCATCCTCTCAAAATCCTCAGGTATACCGAAATGTTCACACCATTATTGTTTGGTTGTCTTTCGTCCTCTGTCCAATTATTTCCATTTGTTTATAACTATTGCAAATGACCACGGATACCCATTTGTTTTTTAGCAGATCTGCCATCTAGTGGATTTACGAACACTTGGGCAGTTGCTGCGTATACAGAATCCTACAAACGAGATTACCCCCCCTGGAATTATTCTTTATACTGGATTTGACCGACAACTACAGGTACCTTTGTGTGTGTGAAAAGGTTCTAAACTACTCCAAATGAAAAAGAAGTGGTCAAACACTTCGTTGTTGATGGACAAAAGAGATTCGATTGGATTCGATAGAACACTCCCTTTGTTGATGAGTCGGGGAAAAAAAACACCATCCCTCATCATCCTATCTCGAACCAAACACAAACCAAACACTTCTTGGGGAAGGAACAATGAATGAACTGCTGGGATTATGTGAGATCCCACATCAAGTTGGAGAGGAGAATGAAACATTCTTTATTAAGGGTGTGGAAACTTCTCCGTAACATACGCGTTTTAAAAATCTTGAGGGGTAAGTCCGAAAGAAAAAACTCAAAAAGGATAATATCTGCTAACGGTAGGCATAGGCTATTACAAATGGTATTAGAGTCAGACACCGAGCAATATGCCAACAAGGAAGCTGAAGCCCGAAGGGGGTAGACACGAGGCAGTGTGCCAGCAAGGACACTAGGCCCTGAAAGGGAGGTGGATTGGGGAGTCCCACATCGATTGGAGAAGGGAACGAGTGCCAGCGAAGACGCTGGGCCTCGAAGGGGGGTAGATTGTGAGATCCCATATCGGTTGGGGATGAGAACAAATTATTCGTTATAAGGGTCTGAAAACCTCTCTCTAGCATACGCGTTTTAAAAATCCTGAAGGAAGCCGTAAGAAAAAGTCCAAAGAAGACAATATTTGTTAGAAGTGGATTTTGGCTGTTGCAATTCTTCTCTACTATAATAGATATGTGCATTGTAGCAAAAGAATAATAGTTCGTGATAATATATATACACACATATCAGATAATGAATATTTTATGCATTCAACAAGGATAATATCAATTCCACATCTTCCAACAATAGATGAAGGTTTGATCATTGAAACCACAGTGCTGGGTTGCAATTTATTGTTCCTAATTCTTCCACAGGTTCGTTAGGGGCAGAGACTATGATCCAGATCGCGAACGAGCTGAAAAAAGAATGCTGCAGAAACTTCTAAAGCGTGAAGCTAAAGGAGCAGCCCATGAGCTAAGGTGCAGAAAGTTTTATTCATATTTATTATGTTTGTTTCTCATCCCGTTCATTGAATTGCTTCACAAGTTTGAAGCCTCTCTGTGGTTTAAGCCATTTCTAACTAAATTTAAACTCGAATCATTTTTCTGTCTCATACATTCAATAGTTTTGCGACACGGCGACTCCACCTTACATAGTTGAATCCCTTTGATTTTTGGTTGGTTGCTTCCCTCATGGATTGCGTCCCTGAGCACAAAATCGAAGCCTGTCATCATTTGTCTTCCACTTCAACAATGGAGAAATCTTCGGTGGATCCATTAGTTCATTGCTTCCATTATTCCATACAACAACCATCGCTCAATCCACCATTATCTCCTCCCTCTGTCGGCCAATACTCCGATCAGCATCTTTAAAATAGCTACAATAACCCTACCCTTTTGTACTCTGCCTCCCCTCAATCGCAATCAAATCATGCCCTTTTCGCTCTGCTTTTGGTGCTTTCCTGCCGCCGCTTTCGGCGGAGCCGCCCTCTCGATCCTCATCGTTTTCCTATTTTCTATGAAGAGTAGCGTGCGGCGGCCGAGTTCTGATTCTTCTCCTCCTCCCCCTGGAAGCAGAGGATTGCCTTTGATCGGAGAGACGATTCAGTTTATGGCCGCCGTCAATAGCAGCAACGGCGTTTATGATTTCGTCAGAATCCGCTGCCTCCGGTAATCCAAATTCATATGTTTCTAGTTATATATTCTTCAATTTCTTTAAACTTTTGCTTAATAGTTGATGAGAATAATGTGGTGGGGTTTGAACAGATATGGAGGATGTTTCAAGACTCGAATATTTGGCGAGACGCATGTGTTTGTATCGAGCACCGAATCGGCGAAGCAGATACTCAACGACGGCGGAGTCAACTACACCAAGAAGTACATAAGGTCCATTGCAGAGCTAGTCGGGCATCGGAGTTTGCTCTGCGCCTCGCATCTTGACCACAAGTTCTTACGCAGCCATCTCATCAATCTATTCTCTACCAGTTTTTTGGCTTCCTTTGTCACGCAGTTCGATCAGCAGATCGTTGAGGCGCTTCGAGGCTGGGAAAGCGGATCCACCATTGTCCTCCTCAACCAAGCCCTCAAGGTAAATTTACATTCACTTCTACAATCACTTTTATGTTGAGGATTGGTTGGAGACATTAACTAATTCGCGTTATGAGTAAGAAATATATCTCTCCTTTTTGGGAAGTCCAAAGCAAAGCGATGAGAGCTTATGCTCAAAGTGGACAATATCATACCATTGTGGAGATCAGTGACTCCTAATATGGTATCAGATCCATGCCTTTAATTTAGTCATGACAATAGAATCCTCAAGTATCAAATAAAGAAGTTACTAGCCTTGAAGGTGTAGTCAAAATTGACTCAGGTATTGAACAAAGGGTGTAATTTGTTCGAGGGCTCTAGGAAAAAGAGTCGAGCCTCAATTAAGGGAAAATTAACATTTCTGTCTCTATTGTTTAACAAATACAATTTTATTGATGAAGATAACATGCAAAGCAATGTGCAAAATGCTAATGAGCATACAAAACGACGACGAATTAGAGCTACTCCAGAAGGAGGTAGCTCATGTATGTGAAGCTATGCTTGCATTCCCATGGCGGTTTCCTGGGACAAGATTCCACAACGGCCTCAAGGTCTCCTCCACCATTTCTGCAACTCATTTTCTTCATTCCCTCGATTTTTTCCGTACTAAAACTCTGTAATTTCAGGCAAGAAGAAGAATCATTAAAATACTCGAAAAGATGATATGGGAGCGACAAAGATCAGAAGCTTGGCACGACGATTTCTTGCAACGATTGTTGTCAGAGGAGGGCGACGATGGTAGAGGAGCGTTGTCGGATGTGGAGATCGGAGATAACATATTGACGATGTTGATCGCAGGACAAGATACGACGGCAAGTGCCATCACGTGGATGGTGAAGTTCTTGGACGAGAACCCAGATGTTCTTCAAAATTTGAAGGTACGTTGATTCGTACATTATATCTATTTTAATCTTTAAACTTTTAAAATATCTACTTGAACAAAAATGAAATAGGATGAACAATTTGAGATATTGATGAACAAACATCGAGATCGTGATCGTGAGAATTGTTTCCTTACGTTGGAAGATCTTGGCAACATGTGTTATGCTCCTAAGGTATTAATTTTTTTCTTTTTGGAAAAATTAATGCTGTCACAAATTTTCTTTTTAAACAATGTTATTATGAATTAATCAGGTAGTAAAAGAATCCTTGAGGTTAGCATCGGTGGTGCCATGGTTTCCAAGGCTAGTCCTCCAAGACTCTCAAATTCAAGGTAATTTCATATTTTCTATTCATATTCTCCCATGTTCTTTCTTTTTTAGATTTTGAATCATGTTTTAAATTTTAAATTTATTCGATTTTAATATTTAAACTTCTAAAACGTTCTCGTAGTCTTGAAACATTTAAAAGTATCCATTTTAATCCTTCATTTGTTTATTAAATATTTGAAAATAAATTAACAACAAATTTTATAGTTAATTTGGTTGGGTTAGGGGTTAGATTCATTAGTACTTAATAAGAAATTACATTTTAGATTTAAAAAATTTGAACAATTGGGTTTGGTTTAAAAAAAAAATGTTTCGAACCCACGAACCCCTATTGGGTGAATAATGAAAAAGTGGGTCTAAAAAAATAAAAAAAGAATTATTATTTTAATATAAAGTATTAGTTAGATTAATGTTAGTAGTAGATAAATGATTAATTTGGGCAATGTTGATTGGAAATAGGTTACAAAGTCAACAAAGGTTGGAATGTCAACATTGATGTAAGGTCACTACACTCACATCCTTCTATCTTCCATCACCCTACCATCTTCGATCCTTCCAGATTTTATGTAAGAATATTATTCTCTTTTTTTTTTTTTTTTTTTTTTTAATTATACTGTAAATTTTAAAATATGTCAACGAAAATTTAAAATTTTATAAATATTGATTAGACATTTTATTCAGACATTTTTTAAAAATTAAAAAAAACCAGATAGACACAAATCTAAATTTAGTTAATATATATATATATATATTATAAAAGATTGAAGGTAAAGATTTTTGGTTAAATGTTGGTGTAGGAAGAAGCAAAGCCCTATAGTTTTCTAGCGTTTGGAATGGGAGGGAGGCAATGTCTAGGGATGAACCTGGCCAAAGCCATGATGCTCGTCTTTCTTCACCGCTTGGTGACTTCTTACAGGTGACCGACCAATTATTTTTTATTTTTATTTTTTTCATTTTCCCTTTTTTCTTTTCATGAAAAAATAAATTTTAGAAATTTGGACACCAAACACGTTAATGGAAACGCAATTTTTGTTTTTCTTCTAAACAAATACAATATTTAGATTTTTTACCGGAACGCGATTGGTTTTTAAGATTGTTTTTTGTTTTGGGCCTTTTACTAGTTAGTCCTTGTAAAGCCCCCAGACAGCGTATTTTTAAAAAACGAGGCCCTCTGTAATGCAACATAAAAACCCTAAATGATAAAATATGATAACTAAAATGAAAGTATTGTACGACAAATAAAGACTAATTAGATGACTTTGATCAATATACGGATCCTATTGTATTTGTATATGATACACAAAAGTAAGAGTTCCTTGAGTTCCTTTCTAGTCTTTATTTCTATTCAAAATTTCAGTTAATTTTGAAACATTTATTAAAAAATTGTCGGTGAGTAAGTGGAGTATTATTTTTTATAATTAAGTAGTCTTATTCTTATTCTTCTTTAAAACGCTAATTAATTAATTAATTTTATGTAGATGGAAGGTGATCGACTCCGACCCGAGTATTGAGAAGTGGGCACTTTTTTCTAAACTTAAGAGCGGTTGTCCGATTATTGTCACACGTATTGAATCCTAAATTCCTCTATGTTATAATAATGCAATTAAAAACTTTTTTTTTACTTTTTTTTTACTGTCAAAATATAGTTTTCATAAAAAAATAAAATAAAATAAGTCATTCAAAATAAATAGTAGTTTTTTAATTTTTGTCTTAATATATAAAATAAAAGAAATTAATTTATTGGACTTAATAATATCTCACTAACTAATTATTGAAATGATGTTTATTGGTTTATTAAATAACACAAAAGCTGATAATTATGTCCTCAATTATTAATATTATATTAGCTTTTCTTTTTAAAAAAAAAAATATTTTTCTTTCAATAGAAAGAAATATATATATATATATATATTAGGCTCGAAAGAAATAAGATTCTTATGGTTCATGGGCTGAATTGAATAATAATTGAAACATTTTTTATATTCAATCTAATTGTTGTTGAAATTTTGTAATTTTTTTTTTTTTTTTTGTCTTATTTATTTGAATTTTTTTAATAAAATAAAATGTAATTAGTAAAATATATTAACCACTCATTTTTAATATATATTTTTAAAAGTTATCTATAGTTAAAAAAATTATATTTTAAGAGTCATTAGAGAATCTTAATCAAATAATTATGAAATATATTTTTAAAAAAATTAATAATAAATTCTGATTCAATTCAATTAAATCCAATTAGTTTTAGGAGAATGCGTGAACCAATCCATACATAAAAAATTTATAATCGAACCCAAATTATACTAATTGAGTTGAGTTGATCGGGTTTCTCAATTCATCAAATTTTTTAAATACCCATAAAGATTCGTACATAAGCCAATATTCACATAACACATTATAATTAAGAATATTCGATGTTTGTAACACATGTTAGTAATATATTTTGACTGGTAAATGTTTAAGATTTTAGTTATTAACGTAACATATACCGTAAAAAAATATGGTTGTTTCAAAATAATATAAAAAAATATTCGAATGATTCAATCCAATCCAACTCAAAATAAAATGTTAGGTTGAGATAATCGAATTCATGTCCATTTTGTAAGGACCATTTTGCAAATTTTGAATATTTTACAAAATCACACTATTTCTTTTTTCCTCCCCACAAATATCGCAAATTCCCTCCAAACCCCACTCCCAATTCCACCAATTGCTAATAATAATAATAATAATAATAAATAAATAAATAAATAAAACAAAAAGGAAAGAAATTATAATCATAAAATGTGGGATTTGTGAATGGTTATTGCACAAACTCAAATCCCAAGAAAATAAAAAAAAATAAAAAATAAAAATAAAAAACATCTCCCAATGTCCTTAAAATGTTGTCGGAAAGTTCGGAGAAAACGACGACGCTTTTGCCAATCATGAGCTTTCTTTTTGCCTTTGCGCCTCCAATAATTGCCCTCCCCATGTCTATAAGATATTGCCTATACCCTTAATTTTAAATCTTTTGGATTTATTACACCTTTTTTTGAAATTCAAGCAATTAATTAATATTAAGGGAATCACATATTCACTCATTTAATCATTTCCTTACTATTTTAATTTAATCCATTGCGGTCGATCGAGGACTATAAAGCTTTAAAACAGGCCGAGGTCGATCTTATATTTACGATAAAACTACTGGGTATCGTCATGAATCCTGATAGTTATCTAAGAAGATCATTCAATTTTACTACACTGTACCTCAAATCTCCTTATTTAACATCACTAACGTTATTCCTCTGATAACGTTATATTTACGATGAAACTACTGGGTATCGTCTTTTAGTAAGCAATATGAATCCTGATAGTTATCTAACAAGATCATTCAATTTTACTTATTTAACATCACTAACGTTATTCCTCTAATAACGGTGACAACAACTCCAACAATCATGGATGTTACAGGCGTCCAAGTTTTGGGCCTTTTTATTAAACATCACTAACGTTGTTCCTGTGACAACAACTCCAACAATCATGAATGACACAGACGGTGATAACAGCAACTTGGACGGTCGTGGGAACATATATGTAACAATCCAAGTCCACCGTTAGTACATATTGTCTTCCTTAGGCTTTCCTTTTCGGGCTTCCTCTCAAGGGTTTAAAACGTGTCTGCTAAAAAAAGGTTTTCACACCTTTATAAAGTGTGTTTCGTTCTCTTCCCTAATCAATGTGGGATACCACAGTATAGGTGGCTAGTTGCATTGCGACACGCTATACAAATATTTTAACGAAAAAAAAAATTAAAAGAATTAATTTTATTTTCAATTATTTAGGTTGAAAAGTTTGGAAGAGAAACCCCACATGGCACTTAAGTTAGTGAATGTAATTATGATATGATATACTCTTCTTATCCCAATAAGATTTTCTCCTAATATTATAATTTAGTCCTTTTAGTTTATTATAATTCTCTAAGTCCCCACCGCCGTCTCCAATTTTAAATTAAACCCCAATTCTAGGCTACAAAATGGAATTCTGAAACTTCCTTCATGCATTGCTTTTCTAATATCCATTATTATTCTTCTTGCTTTCTCCCCAAGACTTTCCCTTATTTACACTAATTGCCCATAATTAACGTGTTTTATTTTTTTGGCAACTTCTCTCATTCTTGCCATTTCAATTATAAAGTTCCTAAATGGGTTGAAGTTTAAAGATAATTAAAAAAAAAAAATTAATTTTCTAATTTTGGGTTAGATTTTAAACATATTTTAAAAAATAAATAATTCATTATTGCTTCAGTCGTATTTCAACCCATTTCAACAACGAAGACCCTGATAGGTTCTGTCTGCTCTTTTCTTCTCTTAGAATCCACTCCGAGTTGGGTCGATAGAGCTGCGAGTCCAACTTCTCGAGCAGTCGAGAATTGAACAACGAACATTCATCACAGATAGATTACTGCATTTCTTTGGTTAATTAATGAAATTATTGGTGGTTGTGAATCATTTGAAGGGTGAAAAGAGAAGTGGTTAAAAGGTGTAATTAAAGTAATAATAAAAAATAATATGGGGAAGAAAAATGGCAATTTATTTATAAATGATAATAAATAATTAGAACCGACTCTTTTTTGGTACCCATCGGCGGACGTTGACAGGTAAGTATATTTAATATGTTTTTAAAAATTAATAAATATACGGAATATAAAATTTAAAAATTTTATGAGTATATTTAAAATATATTATTAACTGTAAATCTATTTTTAATTTTTTAATTTTTGTTTAAGTTTAAAGGTTTTTTATTTATTTTTTTAAAATTATTTTGAAAGTGTAAAAGTATAATTGAAAATTTTAAAAAAATTGATATTTTTTTATTAATTTACCCTAAATTAATAATAAAATTAAATATCTATGGTCCATAATTAGTGATATAATTTAAAATTGAGAATTAAATTAAAAAATTAACAAATTAATAATAATTGTTTTATTATAAATTTTGGAGAAAAAAAAATTGTCTTGAATATATTACTTTTCATTTCAACGTCTAACTACTAGGTTGAAAATAATATATGTTTTAATTTAATTAGCATAATATAATCCAATTAATTTGATTAATTTATAATAAAAGTATTTTTAAAAAATATATTAATTTGTGTCGGCTGACATCAATTCAACGTAATTTTGGACGAAACTAAATTTCTTCTTCGATTTGACACTTACAAAATCTGCCCAAGCCCCAACCATTTTTTTAACACCACAATATTTATTATTTATTTATATATAATCAGTATTATTTTTTAAAAAATTAAATTAATAAAAATATCCTTATATTTTCAATGGTCTAAAAAAAAAAAAAATACTATTTCCATTAATTTTTTATAAAAATAATTAATATTTTGTTTTTTAAATGTTTCAAAAATGCACCTTTAAAAAGTGTTTAAAAAATATTATAAAATATACTTAAAATGTTAAAAAATTAAAAAAAAAAAAAACTTTTGAACTTTTTTAAAAATTTAAAAATAATTTTATTGTCACTGCAACGTTTCAAAAATATTAATTAACTTTTTTTTATATAAATGTTACATTTAAAATTTCATGAGTATTTAATAAATATAGTACTGACTATATTATGTTTTTTTTAAAGTCCAACTTTGACTGTAGCGGAGGATACCACGGATACGGAATACCATAGATTGACACAGAGAGAAGATCTCGGCCACTTATATCGGGACCCTGGCTTAACCCTGAATCAGCCACTGAGATCACCAATGCCTGAACTGCGTAAGAAATAACTACTAATTGGGATCGCTGAGACTCCTTTGAAAGGTAGGTTTGAAACAAAATATTAAAATATATTTTAAAGATTTTTTATAAAATATTTAAGATTATTATTAGAAATAAATTGAGGAGTATTTTTATTTAAAAAAAGAAAAGAAAAAAAAAATTGGTTAGGAGTGGGAAAGGAGAGTGACGATGTCCCAAAATATTTGGCTGGACATGTTTGAATATTTACAACAAACAAACAGAAGAGGTGTTGGAAAAAACAACCTTTTTCCGCTCTCAAATTCATCCGAAAGGGAAGAAATTAAAAAGGAAATGCCAAAATTTTGCTGCAAAATTCCCTGATTTTCATATCCCATATTTCTCATTATTACAATTCCGAGAAAAAAGGAGCATTTAATCCCAACCTTTTTTTTTTTTTTTTTTTTTTTTTTTTTT